AAAAAATCCAAAAATTTGATTTTCTTTTTAGTAAGAAATCTCTTTTTGATAGAAAAAACATCATAAAATTATTCATAAAAAAGATTTATTATTTTTATAGAGTTCAAATTATTTTTAATTCTATTATATTATTTTGGTAGTTGAAATAGTTTGAAATGTTAAACGACGAAGTTGAAAGTGGAAAAAGGGACAACTTTATTTCCGATCCGGAGGAAGTTTAATTCACTCAATAAGATTATCTACACCTAAAATATATGCGTATTAGACTATAGATATATAATATAGTAATCAATAAATAATCAAACGAAAATTGTAATAGTAAAAATTATTGACAGATTTCTTTATAATTAATAAATAATTTTACTTACTTTTTCGAACATCAAAAACAAAATTGAACAAAGAAATTTATTCTATTTCAATTATTTTAGTTATAATAAATATTCTAATACATTTTTTTTATTTTTTTCTTTTATCACAGCAAAAAACTATAAAATAATTCATTAGCTTTAATTATTGTTGTAGCATCGTGACAGATTGCGATAATTCAATACAAAATTTGAATTAAAGGTGATAGATAGGCTCAACAACCCTGGTAATCCGATTAATTCCAAATGTCATTTGATAGGACATTCTACGTTCAAGTTCCATTCGATCCCTTTCATTTACTGATTCCCTTGAGAGATTGTATCACAGCTCTAAAAGATATGTACATCAATAGTTCGATGCCAAACGGTTCACAGATTAATGCTTTGCGTTTATATCATTCAGGCGATCCGCATTGTTTGCAAAATTTGTTTTATTTACGCTACGAATTTATTATTTATATTCATATTTATTACTTCAAAAATGATATATGCAATTTTTCTTTTTTAATCTAAATTAATATATAAAATATAATATAGAAATAAAAAAAACATTTTCTATAGTATATAAATCAAAATAAAGAATAATAAAACAAAAAAAAATGATAAAAAGTTTATACCTAATTTTTTTAAATCAATTCCACATTTAGAGCAAGAATTAGGAAAGAACAGAAATAGCATGCTATTAGTTGCTATTATCAAAATACTCCATAATTTTTTAACAGGAGAAATTTCTCTTATTAGACAATTTTTTCGACTTGTGCATTTATGCATTATACACACGAGACCTTAACTGGTCTCGTACTTGCAGTCAGTGCCGAACGAAGTAGTGCAACCCAGTTTCATGTCAGACATGTTCTCTGCGCAACTGCGAGCGCAGAGAACGTTAATTCACTAACTCTCACGGTTCGTGAAAATTCATCGAAACGCTTGATCCATTTCCATAAAACCGCAGAGAACTCTCAGCATTCTACCTTCTGTTACATGTTACATACCCTCACTCTATGCATACATCTTAATGAAAGATCAAGTTTATAATATTTCAATGATTTTATCTAGATTGGAGTGTTACATGGGATTTTTGCAATTTACTTTATTTTTTCGCCGAGAGAGGGAGAAGATGCGTCAAGATTTCGGTTACAGTATTACAAAGCGCTTTAAAGATGCATGTTTCATTCGAGGAAATGAACGTAGACCGTGAAGAAAAAAGAAAAAAAAAGTTATTATACAAACATAACTGTATGGATGAAATTTATGTAACTGGAATTTTGTGAATTGCTTGGTAAATGTTGATGTTGGCAAAAATTGGCTGAGATGAAAGTCGCGATATTCTAACGCACTCTGGTGAAATATTTAAAAAGTTTCTTTTCTTTGATATCCTTGAATATTTTAAGTTCATTATTTTTTGACTGATATATTTTTGTAAAAGAATTTTTGCAAAAAGAATAAATAGAATTGGAAGAAAATAAATTAAAAAAATCAATGTTATTTTCAATATTAATCTCTATTTATAAATTTTTCTATATATATAAAATATGCTTAAAAATACGCCATCTGTCGTTCAAAGAACTAATGAAAATTGTTATTTTCCTTTCTTTTTTAAATGTAACCAGAGGATAAAGATTATACCAAGGAGACGCTTTATCGGATATGTTCGAAAGGAATTATCTTTAGGTATGTTTGCTTGGAAGATAAACTTAAGTTATGGTCATAAGTTCTTGAGAAAATAAATGATCTCCGTTAAAAATAGTGAAATACAAATACGAATTCCAGGTGGCTGTCATACGGAAGTTCTATAGGCATATCTTATCTGTTTTCTTTGAGAAGTACACACACACATATATATATATATATATGTATATCCGTATCTGGTGTGAATACATGGATTTTCGACTCTCTCCATATTTTTTTCTTCATGATTGTTTTGCTTTTTAGGAATGTCAATTTTTAGCGAGCTGCTATTATTGAAACGATGTTTGAACAACTCTTACCAGGCTATCTAACTTTTATTGCGAGATTGCTCGGTTGGAGGATACATCTGCTGCCGAAAATGAGATTTTTTGAAATATGATCATCATTTTTTAAACTTATAAATATTTCATCAAACATATAACTAATATTTAAATATTCATATACTAATAATATAATATTTTAATATAATTCATTTAAAATTTTTTTGTTTAATTATAATTATAAAATAAAATAATTTTCATTTTTATGAATATTACGATATGAGAGAATATTATAATATATAATAAAATTAATTATAAAAATTTATTAAGTTATAATTATAATTAAAAAATTTTATTGCATATAAAGATAATTAATTTGCCTTTAAATTCTACAATTTGTATGTAGAAACAAAATTTATATACTATTATCCCAAATTTAGAATTCTATTATCACATATGTTCACACATTTCAAAGCGTAATGCGTAATCTATTTCTATTTCTTTTGCACCATCAAAAATATCTTTCAGATTCTTAAAAACTTCTTCCTCTTTGTAGAACGGAACAAAATGACTGGCTCTTCGCTTTCATACAATGGTCGGAAAGAAAAGAACGGAAGAAAAGCGCGGAAAACGAGCGAACTATGCGCATCGCGAATGTTTTGACTCGAAGCGAGTACTCGTGAGCCTCGAATGAGCGAAGAACTTGTGTCCCCATTTATTCCTGCAGCTGCGACTGCAAAATCAGTGCACGGTTCGCCGACTAGAGGCCACGACTCATGTCAGGACACCGAGGTCGTGCTTACGACCCCTCTTTCTTCGATGGTGTCGTTGCCCGGCCGAGCGCGCAAAGACAAGCGGAAAAACGAGGTTATCGAATCGAACATAAAAAAACAGAATTGTTTTCCATATATTTGTTTCTTAATTCTTTTATTGCATATTTAAATTTTGAGGCTATTTTTGAAAAATACTAATCTGATAAAAAATCTTTAATTTTCAATTTTTGTTACATGTTAATAACATATAATTTTAGAATTATCTAATATCTATCGATAGTTTTTTTTTTTTTAATTTTGTAAATTTATAAATATTGTAAGTAATATTGATACTAGGATACTACTTATAATTTTATGTTTATAATTTTTACATTGATTTATTTATTTTTATTTTTAATTAATCATGAAATTCGTTTACTGAAACGAAAAAAGAGATTTTCAAGGATAGATTTTTAAAATTAGACAGTCAATCAAATATATCAAAAGATATTATATGTAGCATAGTTCAAAAAAATATATTTTAATGTTGATTAATCGCATTGTTCATTATTGATTAAAGTTATAAACGAAATTCGACAGGACTGATTATATAGAAAAGAATAATAAGAGGAATTGATTCTTGGTGATTCACAAAGAACTTGTGAAGAAATTTTATGGGAAGCTGAATGAAGATATATATTATCAATCGAAAAAATTATAACAGAATTGTATTTATTTCCATGAAATTGGAATTGAACTTCTAAGTTAAAATCGAAAATATAATATTTTATTTTTTGAAATTTTCTAAATATTAACACGATTATAATTCAAAGAATAAAAGGAATCCAATTTCTATACAATAATCTCAAAATTTATTATACATTAATTTTATATTTAATTTCAATTTTATTTTTAAAACGACTATAAATCAAAATGCATTGATTTTAATTCTCACATACAAAACAACAAATATATATTCTAAAGTTTGATTTAGAAAAGAAATAAATATGAAATTAATTTTTTTTTTTAACGAAATGATGGAAAGTATACACGTGAGAACAGAGATCTACATCTTATTTGCATGGAAACCTAACGAGGCATTGGTGGTCACGTGAGCAGAGCCCATTCTTCAAACCAAAGAATGAGACGGCTCCAGAAAAAGGGGGACGCCTCGTTTTCTCGAACGAACAAAACCACAGCCGGTAAAACGGCGTAAAATAGAAAAGACCTGGAACAAAATGGAGCGATCTAACAGCCTGCAGCAGGTCTGATCTTAATGACGACACACACTGGCGGTCCAGTTACTGCTGGATGATCGTCTTTGACGTAAACCAGCACGGTTGATTACTTCGAAACAGTTGGATCGATCGTTCGTGCAATATGGGTGAAACAAAAAGAAAAAAAAAAAAACGAGAGGTAGATAGAAGATAAATAATACGGAATGTGCAACAACGAGATAAAAATGTTCTCTCTAGAGTATGCCTTCGTTGCATACTGAAATATATCGAGATGCTCCAGTTTCCTTTGTTTTTGAAAAGATATTGATAAACTAAGAAAACGTTTTTTGACCCGATTTACATATTTCATTTATTAAATATCATTTATTATATTTCTTTCTTCAATTTATTTGTCGTCTCTCTTTCATGAACCCGTATATTTTAATATCATTTCGTTCTTTTATAAATTTTTTTGAAACATTAATTATTCGATTGGACGATTTAATTTCTGAAAATTAATATAGTCTTTTAAAAATTTCAGGAACTCTATTAACATTGAAGATATTAAAAATATCAAGGATGGATATGGTATAAAATTCGTAGTTTTTAAATGGCAGGTGGAAATTATTCTTTTTTTTCAATTATTCTTAAAAAATCTTTTTCAAATAATAATTATAACTATGTGATTTACTTTTTAGGATTTGATGTAATTTTTTTAAAAAAAACTTCAGAAACTACTGTATGGAAAATATCTAATAACAATAATAAATCAGGATTAAGTATGATGTAAGACGTTACTGCGGTTAAGTGGCAGCGGAAATTATCCTGATCCTATCCAAGATAGATATCGTGGTGGTCGACGATTAATCAAAACACGACACCGTTCACGAGGAGAACCGATATTCAATTACCGCAAAATTATCCTTACATACTGAGATCGTTGAGACCTGCTAACTGTATTCCATAGAAGTTCCTTCTATGAGTTAAGATAACGATCGAGAGAAGTGGATTAATAGGCATAGTTCGTGTTGATTAGAAAACAATAAACTGCAAGAATTATTGTGAAAATCATAGTATTTAAGTAAAGAATTTCTTTCTTTCCGTAATTATACCGTACAATTTCTTCTACGTAATTTTTGAACGAATTCTATCAGATATTTACTTGAAATCAACTCAAACACTTTACACATAATCAAGTCAAATAATTTCATTTATATGAACATCAATATATCTATGAATAAAAAGTATAAAATAAGTAAAGTTAAACTTAAAATTCAAGGTAATATAAATAATTATTTATCCTCAATTCGTGTACTTAATTAATTTTAACCGAATATCATGTTCAATATCCAATCGAATACGTTGAATTTCTAGAAGAAAAGAATCGGTAATAGGTTTATGCGGATCGACATGGGTACCCGGGCACCGTCGCCAACGAGAGGAAAGGACGAAGCACCGTAGGCTCCAGGGCAACCACGACGAGTCTCCGAATCCAATGTGCGCTCCAGCCCGATCAATAACACGGGGCGTGCACCACACCGAGCCACCCTCTTCCTTCTTGCCAGCCAGGGGTCCTCGTTTGGTACCCCGGCTGACCTTCGAAATTACCGATCTATATGTACAATCGTTTCACATTTTAATCTTTATTTTTTTTTTCCTTCTACTCGTTGTGTATTTCATTAAAAAATGTATATTATTCAGATCTTTGGGAACAAGGAATTTTCTTGTCAGAGACAACGCCCTCTTAGATTCTGGAAACATTGTTATTCTAAGGGAAGAATTTATTTTGAAAGTAAGGTAAGGAAGAAAGGAAATTTTTAGTTGTATGTATCCTGTTAAATGATTATTTCTGAAAGATTGAATATTTAGATAGTATGGAAGAGATTTAATTAGATAAAATAGAATTAGAATTTGTTTTAAAAAAAAAGAAAGTTTTTATATTCTTCTATTAGATAGTAATTTAAATAAAAGATAGAGATTGAATGTGTAGAAATTAATATAAGTGAAAGATAGAAATATGATAAAATACTGAAAGGAAAAAAAGTTTTTGAATTTTGTTCTCTTAATAAATAGTAATAATTGAATTCATTTAAGAATTCAGGTAGAGATTAATTGGCAGAATATTTGGTTTTATTATAAGTTTTATCGAAAAAAGATCTATTCAAAAGACCTTTTTTCAAAACCTCTTTAAAACGTGACTCATTTGGTATGTACAACGCGAGTTCATAAAGTCAAAAGAACGCGATTACTGTAGAGACACGGGTTGTACATCAAAGCGGTTTTCCATCAAATCTATTACATAGACAACTCGTGAAAACTAGTCGAACATGAATCACGGAAAAAATACTATACTATACTAAATCTCTTTAAAAGATTACTCGAATCAAGCAAATAAAATTATGTAATAAATATCATTTATATTAAAAATTATACACAGAAATAGAAAAAAATTAAAAAAAAATTCCTTTACATTAAAATTAAAAAAAAATTAATTCTCTTATAGAATACTTATTTAAAAGAAAAAATAAAGAAAATTATGCGACTGAAATAATCTTTTACATATATATATATATATATCTTTACAATAGGAAAAAATAAAAGAGAGTTATACGACTTCGACCAGGTGGAAAGGGTTAAATCGTTGACTCGGAACAAATTTTATTGTACCGTCATTTTTTTTTCTTTTTTATTGCCTTAATTTGATTTAATCGCGCAACCCTTTCGTTTTATTTTACTTTATTTTTTTCTCTCTCTCTTTCTTCCACAGCACGACGCCACACGATATTCGAAGGGTCGAATGCCGTTCGAGGACCGTTTCACTGTCGGCGACCCGTATTTACGTACGAAGTGGCTGCCACTCGATCCCGAAATAAGTCCTCGCGCGCAGGCTGCGCACCCTAATTCACTGGCCAGGCTGATATGCGCGTTAACGCCGCCAATGGTTTTAAGCCCGATGCTCGCACGCCTCGAAATAGAGATTAAAAAGCGACGCACGCATGAGAAACAGGAGAAAAATGACGAGCTGTGCGACGATTATCGGAGATATGCGCTTGACAAGTTCAAAATCTCCGCCTTTTTCAGGTCAGATAAAAACCAATTTGCCATTGGTTATCGGAAGCAGGAATATTTTCGAACGCATAGATAATTTTCCTGGGAACATTGGTGGGAATATTTTTGAGTTATGAAAGTGGAAAGTTGTTTAACACGTTCACCACGTATAAGGTGTCTTGAATTCGAGTTGTAATATATTTTAAAGTACAGTCGATCGCGAAAATCTTTGTGTATTATCTCGCAAAAATTCATTTTTGTTAATTAAAGTTTTTTGCGTGAATTTTGCATAGGTAATAGATTATATGCAGAGATTGGAATTTTTTTTTCTTTTTGAAATATAATTTTGCCTGGAAATATTTTTTGCAATAGATACATTAAAAATGTATAATGTTATAATTAATTATATATATATATATATACATATATATATATATATTGAAAATTAAATTCTTGAAAATAATCGATTATTTGAAGTGATAATAGTTTACGGAAATAACGAAAAAATGAGGGGAAAATATGGTGTTTTCACAGCTGGAAAAATAAATGGTTTACACCGATAGATCGATAACGGAATACCGTGACCTAGAAAACCTTTCCAAAGAGTTGATCAGTCGTTTCGCGATATCACTACGAAAGCACGTTGCGGCTTCCGTTTCCTGTTTTTCAATACGATAAAGGCGTCCTGTCTTCGCGCATTTTGCGTGTTAACGAAACAAGTTGATAAGAACTTTTATATTGTTACAACATCAATCATGTTAAATTGCCAACTTTTTTTTATATTTTTATAATTATTCTTATACGGCGATAGAGTATAACAATTCAATATCATTTTTATATTAAGATTAACAAAAATAATTTTTAACTTTTTATATTTGGATTGACTCAAAAATGTTTTATAATACAATAGTTTAATCGAAGGATTTATAAAGTACAACTAGACTTTTTTGTGAAATTTATGCTAGAAAATAGTACTAGAATGTAGAGATTTCAATAGTAAAAAGATAGAAAGGAAAAATTATTATTAAAAATTCCAAAAAGATTCATGGTCACAATTTAATAATGAAACTTTCGTGAAATTCATGACCAACTTTTTAACTGTATACGAAAGGAGAAGCCAATTATTACTTCGTGAGAAGAGGGGATGGGGGCACGTGCAGCCTTCTCTCTGTTCTTCGAGGCAACCGCCGTGTTTAATATTTGCTATTCTTCGACGCCACTTCCTGCACACATTTGACGCAGGAAGTGCGTAAGTAATTGCGCATTTTAGTAACGGCGGCACGATGCTTGTCACTTCAATTTTGCCGCATCGAGCCGGTCGCTTTTTAATCGATATCCTTTATACTTTTTTACATTTTTCATAAAAAAATATACAAATAATTATGAAACGATAGAGCAATGAAGTAAAATGGATAATAAATTTTATGAAAAAAAAAAAATAGACTCAGAATACTTTTACAATATTTAAAAAAGATAAATACATGGTACACTTAACCTCAAAATCAACGAATCCAACTTTGACGCGACATTGCGTTACATTTAAAAAAAAATTGCTTCCCCAATTGTGAGAAAAACAAAACATTAACCATTTCCATTCCTGAGTTTTTCAATATTATACGCCACCCCATAATTCGTGTTCTCAATGATGCCAATTATCCCCAATCGTACAATGAGCCAGGCTTTCGACTCACAACCTTCGTACAATCGAATCGATTGTTTCGATCCAAATGCACAAAAGAAGAAAAAAGTGAGACAGAGAGAGAGAGAGAGAGAGAGAGAATAAAAAGAAAGAGTCTAGCATTCGTTTTAAATGCAGGGCAGATTAAAAGATAATCACGCGCAATGATTCCAATTTACTCACGTTCGTGTAGAAGTCCACTTCTTTGTAGGGGTTCACGGCGACCAATATGGATCCGGTATACGTCTGGTGTCGAATAATCGTAATACTAAGTCAAGGAAAATTATCGGAGCGCCGACTTGTTAAATCGTTGAATGCATTCAGCCATTCGGCCCGTCGTTCGTCTATTAATCCGAGGGATGCAAATGAACGAAGGAGGAGAAAGGGAGAAATGGAAATTTAAGGAAAAAAAGAAAGGAAGGGGGGAGAGGCGGAAGGTGTGTTTACCTGTAGCTGAAAGGAACCGTGTCGACGGCATTATTTCTCATTCTCCAACCTCGTGAACCTCCTTGAATGATAATGCGACATGCATTCCCAATGGGGGCTTGTACTCTGCGCGTGACGTCACGCGTGGTGCAGCAATGTGAACGCGTGTCGGTATTTTCCTTTTTCTTTTTTTTCCCCCTTTATATTTTTCGCTTTATGAAATTTGTATATTTAACGAGGTGAAAGATAAATGACAACGTTTTGTCGAAAATTGTCTCAACATTGTTCGTTCACCACAATGTTACGTACATGCATAGTTAAAAATTTTTCACTTGTCTTTAATAAATAAAAAAGTTTGAATTGTAATATCTTAGATCATATGGTCGATCACACGTACGAAAGTAGAAAGAGTATAAAAGTATATATAAATATATATTCGATGCGTAAAAACTAGTTTTCAAACTATAGTTGGCATTTTTTTCTTTTTTTCCAATTCCCAGTTTAAAACATGTCCAATACGGAAAAATGTTCGAAGCATGGCCTGATATTTTTCTATTCCAATATATCATGGGTCATGTTATTTTTATTCAATCTATGCCTACCCCAGAAATCGAAACGCATCGTTATAATAACATGCTTTCTCCGAACGAAAGAAAAGAAAAAAAAAAGAAAAATAAATAAATCGATCCAAGAAATCCGTAGAAATCAAACGGATTCAATCGAACAATTAAACGTTTCTTTCTCCTCATAAACGATTCTTTCACATCATCACAATTCACTCCCTCTATCGTTCACAATTGCTTACAATCCGACTGTAGTGAGATTCAACGTAAAATATTAATCTTTATTGAATAAAACTGTCTTCACAAAGAGCACAATATTAACTAATTTTAATTACATATACTGATTTATAAATCGATTCTAAAAATTACGAACGAATCTATCGCAATCTGTTCAATTCCACAGTATTCGGGATACAGTGTTTCCAGCTATTGTCTCGCAGTTTACGCTGCTTAAAAGAAAGAAGAAAAGCGAGTCTCGACAGGTAAACGCATCGAAAGAATCGTTCATAGAGAAGCGGAAGTCGAGAGAGGCTTGCGCCACTTCAGAAACGCGAAACGATTTTAACGATCTCTCGAATTATCGAATGGTCTCGAGTTTTCCCTTCCCTCTATTTCTTCATTCTTCTTTTCCATCCGTATCGGAGTTATTATCAGGATGCATACTCGATGCATCCCCCTCGGTTATATCTTCGTTCGAATTGTGGGGCAGGGAGGGAAATTATCGGCGAGCATCGAGGAAGAATCGTCGATCGAAACGATTCCTCGATCTTTCCCCTCGCGCTATAATAACAACCGAACGCATCCGATCCATGGATTTCTCCGATCCATTGGGGTGGAGGACGTCGAAATGACGTCACACCCGGGGGTGAGCACGGATGACTCACGGATGAATGCCTGCAGCGAGAAAGGGGATAATACGCCTATATAACCGTACCACCCTTCTGTAACATTTGGAACGACAGGGTGCCCCCCCCCCCCCACCCCAAGTAGTCTGCTTTTGGAGCTGGTGGCGAGATGGGTTACATTTCGCGACTGTGTATGCGAAATAAGACTTTTTTTTTTTTTTGTCATTTCTGAGTTAGGAAATTTGGAAGAAATATCATTCGAATTATTCGAATTACGAATAATGGAGAGGAATTAAATGAAAATTTATGAAACGAGCGCGAGCTATTACTTTGTGAAATGGTTGAAGAAATATATAATTACGTTTTCGAGAATTGGAACAGAATTTCTGAAGGATTCTGTTTTTATCGAGGAAAATAAAATAATTTCGAGGAAAAAATTCTGCGAGAAGAGTTTTGAATAATTTCTAATGGATCTAATGGTAATTTTTCTCTTACTGCCTTTGCCGAAAAGCAGGGAGGTGGATGGCGCTTTTTCCAAAGCAGTCTATTCCATACAGGGTGGTGTTACGTCTATTTTAATCCTCGACCTTTCTATCCGCCGGCAAATATTTCTTCTTTTATTGCGACGTAAAGGTGGCCTTCTATCTTGTCGTTTACAGAACTCGAGTTACCCTGACTGGAGAAAGGCAGCTTCATCGATCGAAAGAAAGATGGAAAGTGACAGGACAAAGACCATCCTCGTTTGTTATTCCTTCACCAATTCCTCCTCGACGTATCAAACTTAAGAAGTCGTAAAAGAGGGATATCTCGAACTCGTAAAAATCTCTTGAAAACAAATGTTTCGTTCGAAGCGAAAATCCTATTTTCTACTCTCCTTCTAGTCAAATATAAATTAGAAGAGAATATTTAAACTGGAAAGAAGTAAGATCGGCCACCTTTTTTAAAAATTCGATATCTTGAAACGTTAAAACGTATACTTCGAGATTTGATGTAATATCAAGTTTAAAATTATCTAGAATACTCGATGATAAGCCAAATTCGATTTCAAATGAGGAAGAAGAAGTTTCAAAGTTTCATTTTTTCACGAATTTCCAGCTACAACTCGAATTAGAATTTGATTGCATCAAGAAACTATTTTTTTTTTTTTTTTTTGAAAAATCTATCGATAAAAGTAAAATTGAAAAGATGATACAACGACCCCAGGAACGTATCGGGAAGTCAGTTTTCGTTTTAGAAGAAGGAAATACAGATCTGTTATCCGCAGGAAATTCCTTATGGACAGCCGCATTTCCTTCCATTGTCGTTGACGATATTAATCTCTCGTCGGTCGTGAAGAATCGTACCGTAAGAGGAATCCATGAAATTCAAAGGCTTTGATATTAACGTGCGCAGGAACGCCATCTTTAAAAAAAGAAAAAAAAACTTCATCTTATCTTTACGAGATATTGTTAAAAAAAAAAAAAAAAACGTTGTCGAGTTTGAACACGAAGACGAATTTATTGGCATCTGTTCTTGCGATCGAAGCTGAATCAGCCAATCAGTTGCCAGATCCGTTTCGACAAAATTTAACGATAGAATTGTCGGAGGTGCGCAACGAGACGAGAGAAAATATGAGGAAATCGAGAAAATCGCCTCTCCGGTCAAACTTATTTGTCTTCGGTTACGGTTTTTGCGTGAAGTAGAAGTGAAAACAGCCGGTTGAAAAAGCGCTTCAAAGGATGGAAATGTAATCATTCTTTTTTGTCCACTTTCGTTTTTGTCTCGAGGCGAGTGAATGTCTCTCTCAAATGTTTTTTTTTTTTTTTTACACGAGGAGAACGAATCTCTAAAGTGTCTCTCCGCTTTATTGG